AAGCCATCTGAAAATAGGGTGTAGACATCATGATACTTCACCTTTAGATATTTTAGCATATCTCCCAAGATCAAGGACATTCTCTCACACATCCACAACATCATTACCTCACCTTTAAAAAAAAAAAACCACATTAATTCAATAACAATCTCCAACATACTTTCCATGCTCAAATTTCCCCAGTTGCCAAAAAAGTTCTTTTAACCTTTTTTTTAAAAATCCAGAATCAATGCATTGCGTATGATTGCTGTGTATCTTTAGTCTCCTTCAGTCTAGAACAATCCCGTTGCCTTCCCTCTGTTCTTCAGGATATTGGATCCTTGGAATAGTCTGGGCCAGTTGTCTGGTAGAATGTCCCATACTCTGGATTTGTGTTACTCTTTCTTTATCATTAGAGTCAGGCCCAACATTTCTAGGGAAACTACCACACAGGTGATGGTATGTATCTCCCACTGCATCACATCAAGAGGCATATGATGTCAAGCTGTTCTAATATCAGTGATGCCAACTTTCACCACTTAGTTAAGACTGTGATTGCCAAATCTTCCCATTGTAAAGGTACATTTCTCCTTTGTAATTAATACATATTCAGAGGAGTGATAATTTTTTATCCTGTTTCCCAATAACCTTTACTCAGTGATTTTAGTTTCTACTGATGATCCTTGCCTTAATTGTATTATGGTTATAAAATAATGGTTTTCAATTTCTATCATTCCTTCTGCGTTTTCTGACATTCTCCTATACAGAAAAGCTGCCTTTTTCTCCCCTTTTGCTGTTTCTTTTGCTGAGAGTCACTATAGAGTCTTGGATTATTTTTTTAATCAGTGTGTTATAATCTATTACTGTCACCTTTTTGATGTTTAAATTTCCTCCAAATCAGCCACTTGGTCTTGTATACTTGACGAAACTAAGAAGCACGTTCCTCGCGTGTTATTGTTTGTTTTATAGGCTTGTCTAATCTTCGGCTGAAAGGTGAACCTCGGGAGTGGCTTCAATTCTGTGTTAGCAGGGTATCTGGGGGCCATAGTCTCGGGAGTTCCTCCAGTCTCTGTCAGACTAGTAAGTCTGGTCTTTTTTTGTAAATTTGAATTTTGTTCTACATTTTTCTCCCACTCTGTCCAGAACCCTCTATTGCGATCCCTGTCAGAGCAGTTGGCTGTGGTAGTCAGGCACCATCTAGTTCTTCTGGGCTCAGGCTGGTGGAGGCCATGGATCACGTGATCCATTAGCCCTTTGGAATAATATTTTTTGTGTGTCTTTGGTTTTCTTCATTCTCCTTTGCTCTGAATGTGATGGGACCAATAGATGTATTTTAGATGGCTGCTTGCAAGCTTTTAAGACCTCAGATGCTACTCACTAAAGTAGGATGTGGAATATTTTCTTTATGAACTATGTTATGCCGATCGACCTAAATGTCCCCGTCAAGGTTTTTTGTCGTTGTTGTTTGTTTTTAATAAATGCACTTATGGATTTTGATTTAGTAACTCCTCTACTATTGTTAAGTTCTAAATATTTTTTCATTTTCATTGTGATTTCCTTTTTACCCATGAGATTCTTAGGGAGCATTGTTTAGTTTTCAAAAATATACTTTTTTTTTTTAATCATCTTCTTATTGTTGAATTCTAATTTAACTTCATTGTGGTCAGAGAACACAGGCTGATTTAAATTTATTGAAACTCATTTAGACATAGCATTTGGTCAATTTTTGCAGATAATCTAGATATATATGGAAATAAAATATTTTCTGTATTTGTTGAGTGTACTATCTAAATTTTATCCTATCAATTTAGTTTTTTTATTTCAATGACTATATTTTTCATTTCCATGATTTCTAACTGGTTTTTTTCCATTTAAATCTGTTTTTATTTTATTTCTACCTATGTTTTTCATAATTTTTGGTATTTTTATAATCCATGATTCTGTCATGTATCTCTTTGTGCATCCTAAGCTTTCTTAGGAGCCCTGGTGGTGTAGTGATTAAGAGCTCAGCTGCTAACCAAATGATCAGCAGTTCAAATCTACCAGCTGCTCCTTGGAAACCCTATGGGGCAGTTCTACTCTGACCTATCAGGTTGCTGTGAGTTGGAACTGACTCAGCACCTAACAGCAACAACAAGCTTTCCTAAGGGCTTTCTCATACTATAAATGAGTAGTACCTGAAATGAACTCATATTCTGATTATTGACTTTGTTGGCTTTCTTCTGAACATTTCTTTACATGTTTTGTAATTTCTATTTGCAGCCACATTTTTTGTTGTTTGCTTTCTTTTGTTTCTTTCTCTCCCTCTATGCTCATTCCACCCTACATGGTAGTTTTGGGTTTTCCTCACTTTGACTAAATGCCCCAGTCCAGTCCAGAAACAGATCTCATAATATGGTATTTCAAGTTTCCTATCTGTTATATTATCACAGAATATCACAGACCTAGTTAATGCATCAATAGGCTGCTTGGTTTAGTAAGGTTATGTTTGTGTCTTTAGGTCTACATTTCTAAATAAGCTATAGCTTTAATCAGTGCTTGGCAATAGTTTTCATTCAGCTTCCTTTAATAAGTCCCTAGTTTGAGCTAGAGTTGTGAACCTGGACCTAGTTCACATCCTGAGAAGCAGTTTTAGTCCTTTCACCCCCCAAGAGCTGTCTTCCTGTTCACCTCCATTTACTTTTGGACTTGGAGCCAAATAAGCCTGTGGCTTAGCTCTAATCACAGCTGTGTACTTTTGTCATTTTTCTGAGCTGTGAAAACGTTTGTTTTGTTTTGAACCGGCTATGCTTCTCTCTCTTTCTCTGTACCTCTGTCTATCTATCCCTCCCTCCCTCTTACCCTTCCTTCCCTCTCTCTTTCTCTTTGTCTCTCTTTACATACTTCATCTATGATGCAATGTATTTGGAGCAGAGGAGGTAAATAAAAGGGTGATTTATTGATTCATCTTGACTGGAAATTTACTTAAACTTTTCTAGGATTTGTCTACTCGCAAGGAATGAGAGAAAGAAGAAAACAGGGAAAGCGTTCAGTTCCCAAAGTAGCAAAGTGGAAAAGTTAATTATAATTACTGCCTATTCTCCCTTAATAGGCAGGGCCCTTATTCGTACTTTCTTAGTATCTAGCATCCTCCACCCTCACCCCAACCTGCTTCCTTCTCCTCACCCCAATTAAAACTTCTGTTCTCTGAAGAGTCATCAGTATTCAGCTCCCTGTCAATTAGTCATGTAATTAAAGTATCGAAACTAAATTGTAAATAAAGCTATAAACCCAATAAGTCTTCAGCCAATATGTGGGCATATTTTTTGTGTGAGTAGTGGTGGAGAGGAGATGACCTCAGCTACATGCCTATTCTTACAATCAGACAAAGGCCCAGGTAAAGCCTGAAGAGCCTCCTAAATGAAAGTTGTCCAACTGAAGTAAGGAGTCGTATCATTCTGCTGTAACTAAGAGCTTCTGCTAGGAAGAAGGGCCAACATGGAGAACAGGGTTTTCTAAGGCAGGGTCAAAATGGGATGCACATATATATATACATGTGCTTGTGTGTGTGTCTCCGAGTGTGGATGTACACATGCATGCGCTACTGAGCTCCTACCCAAAGGGATAAAACCAGAAGTTTCACCTAAAGGGCTTCCAGTTAACCATCTGGAAATATTTGGGAATTACTGATAAAGGACCATAATTGCTCCATGATTGTTATTTTTGTTTTCTATAAAGATTACCAGTAAATATCTAAATTAAACTAAAAGGGCCCAAAGGCCTATCTTTAAGAGCACCAAGGGTAAAGCTTGACAGTATAATATATTCCATTGGCAGACTTGGGGAGGAGAAGGATCTCAACCAACAGAGTAGTGGTCTGCTGCTAAAGGTTAAAAGACAAAATGAATGTCAGGGACCTTCTGCAAGGAAGAAGTGCACGGAATCTAGTTTGGGCTTGAAAGGGAGTTTTAGCCATCAGTAGATCTGTGTGATTGCCTGAAAACACTGCTCTCCCCCTCCCCACCCCATCCACTGCTGTTGAGTCGATTTAAACTCATAGCAACCCTATAGGATAGAGCAGAACTCCCCATAGGGTTTCCAAGGCTGTAAATCTTTACAGAAGCAGATTGCCACATCTTTCTCCCATAGAGTGGCTGGTATGTTCGAATCAATGACCTTTCGATTAGCAACCAAGGGCTTAACCATTGGGCCACCAAGGATCCTTAGTCTTACAGGTCATATAAAACATGAAAAATATTTTTAACTTCATCCTACATATATACTTATGCTGAAGTCCTTTAGCCCCAGTTGGCTCAGTAAAACATAATTGATGCTTAGGGAATCAACTCCCCTTATCTAGAGTCACAGACATAGGGTCACAGTTTTGTATCAAATTTTAGGGAGTTTGTGGATGCCTAGTTTAAGGTTTCTCAATGCCTAGGGAGAAGCAGCTGTTTTACATAATAGACTGTAATGGTTTCAAATTTCTAATTTTTATAGGAAGTGGTACCTAATAGAATCCCCAGAATCCACCCAGCACCACTCAAACTCCTTTAGGTGATAGGTATTATCTCCATTGATGTTCATTCAATTTCTGGTAGTGGTCTCCAATTTAGATTCAACAGTATCGTCCAAGTCCAAATGCCTTCCATCTTGAGTGTGCCCAAAGCCATAGTTAATAAAGAAAGTTCCAAACAGAATTAGGTGACATTCTTTTCTAGCTTTTCTGCGAAATCCTTAATGCCCAAAGAGACCTCTGGTCCACAAACTCCATTTATTGCCAGCTTATTTCATTTCTAAACGCTGCTGTTTTCTTTTAGAAATATTTTCTTAAATGAGTTCTCATTAGTTTCTTTGTGAATATCACATGTATTTTGGATCCAACACACAAAGCACATTTCATCAGCTTTAATATTGTCTCCCTCGGTAATGGACATGATATTAGGAGGGTTTCCTAGAATCTTCACAATCATTCTCAACTTTATTAGATGCTTCCTCCCCCGTTTTTAAGACAAACAGTAGAAAGGTTTTTCCTAACATCATCATAGTCCTGCATTTGGTCTCTCTTCCTTATTTTGAGATTCCACCTCAGGCCCTGACCCTTCATCTTTAGCAGTAGTCACTGGACCAACCCCCAACCTTGACTTCTCTGTGGGAATCACAGTGATGTTTTGGTCAGGTCAAGAATATCTGGAAGTTGAGGTGAGGTTCCGTAGATGGATGGTCTTTTGGCGTTTAAAATTCTTACTCACCCTTCAATACTCATTCAAAAGCCCTCTTTTCAGTGAAGCCCAACTTCTTCTCCCTCAGCAGAGTTACATTACCCTCCTGTGCTTCCACTGTGTTATAGTGTTTATCATACTGATTAGGACAAAGCTTGCACCTCCTGGATTCAAATCATGGTTCCACCACTTTCCGTGTGGTCTTGGACAACCTACTCAACCTGTCAAGGCCTCAGTTAATGATAGAACAGGTTAGTAAGTCCAAATTTTCTGACTCCAAAATCCATGCTTTCTCTACTGTACCACGTTGCCTTTCAATGTATAAATGTTCTGAAGAAGGTTAGTGCCCTCCCTTTCCAGAAGTGATTTCCGTTTCTATCCTTCTAGTACAGGGCAGGGGACTGACCCACCAGCAAACATGTATAAGAAGTCACCCCACCAGTTAAGATGATAGGTCCATAGAAGATTAGACTCCACGACATCCCTACTATGCCAATGAACTTGTGCCAGGAACAGGATGAGGCAGAGAAGGAAGCAGGCAGCTAGGACCAGAAGGAAAGATGTCAAAACCTGACAGTCTCCAATATGCCTCCATCCCCACCCCCAACTCTTCTGCTTCCAGAGACCATATGTATGGCAAGGATCAAAAGGAAGGTCATTTGGGGATTGGCTCAGATGGGAGAGAGAAAGGGGCTTCTACCCACGTATAGGTCGGCTAAGGTGTGTTCTATACAATAAGACAGGGTAAGCAGCTGGAAACTTGGTGTCATACTGAAGAAGAGAAAAGGGATTTAAAAAAAAGAGGATGAAAGCCCTATAGAGAAACATTGTTACCTTGACAGTTTTACCGTGGTATTACCCTGCCAATCTAGGTCTGTACCTGAGGTGAAGATGAGCATGGATACCTTCAGATCCAAGTTGGTAGTAATGCTTCCTCTTCTAGGGAGGCAAGCCCTGAAGAGCCAGCTGAGGCCAATGAGTATGGTGAAGACAGAGATGAGGAAGAAGGCCCTGGAGTATTGGAGGTAGTCTGCCAAGAAGGAGGGGAAAGGAAAGGCTTGGTTAGGCCAGTAGGGACCTACCCTTATGAAAGCCAGATAGTCTTAAGAGAAGGGAGTGAGGACAAAGGAGGATTGCTGTGTGGCATCAGGGGCACAAATAAGGATTCTCTTTCCTAGCTCTTCATTGATACCTTTAATTTCTTAAATACAAAGATAAAGCTTTCATTGTTAAACTAAAGATGATATATAAATACTCCTGGGCCAGTTAACACATCAACTTAGTTGTAAACTGGCTTATAAGAGGTGTTACCCCAACATCATAAGACTGATTAAAACTTTTTCTTATTTCTAGTTCTAATTCTAAAAGTAATGCATATTCAATAAAAGCATTGGAAAGACTAAAAAATACAAAGAAGCAGGAAGAAAATCAGCCATAGCCCCACTACCGAGAAGCAAGTATTGTTAACATATTATTTTATTTCTTTCTAGTATTTTTCTATTCTCTGTCACATAGTAGATATGATACTGGATATCATGTCTTTTTTTAAAAAAAGATCATATGATAAGGATGGTGCCTGGCTACCATTACTAAACGTTTTGGTCAAAGACACAATAACTAGATCCTGATCAAAAGGAGGAAAAATTTGGAACATACTTTCATATTCTTATGAATACCAGACTTACCGTACCCAGACTGGGTACTGACTGGGAGAACTCTCTAATCTATTGCCCTGAAATAATTGTTAAACCTTGAACTGAAACTATCCCTTGAAGTCATGTTTAAACTAAACAGTTTGGCCCAAATATTTGCCTTGAACATTGAGCCTTTTTAAAGAATATCTATGAGATCAAACTGACAACAGTAACTCTGAAGCATAGATGAAAAGTTTAGGAGGCAGTGAGTCTAAGCTAATGGTAAGCAATATGACTAGTGATGGTGAGACTGGTGACCCAGTATGAAGATTGAAACCAATGTCACTGAACTGTACATGTAGAAATTGTTGAATGGGTATAGGTTTTGTTGTATACAAAACACCCATTGCTGTCGAGTCAATTCCCCCCTCCCTCACATATATGGTTACCTGTGCAACATATTCATAACTAATCCCTTGCAAACATGGCCAACTATATTGCTGTTGCCTTTCTCCCTTAAGCAGAAATCCATGAGGCTGAGTGGGGTGCCTAGACAGGGTTTCTGTTCCCAATTTAAAAACAATAAAGATTTTCAATGAAGAAAAAACAATTATATGATAAGTTTTCTCCCAGATCACTGAACACCTGTTGTAAACATAATCTTTAATGGCTACAATATGTAATGGCTATCATATTAATTACTAATTAATTAATATCATATTAATATACTTTGCTCAATGATTTACTCATTGTTGGATTTGGAGTTTTTTTCTGTTTCAAATGTAGCTGGCATGTACAGGCCTTGTCAGCCTGTGACTACAAAATGAAGTCACATTTACTTTAATTCCTATATTATGATTTCAAGCCCTAATTTACTGTATTGATGGAAGTTAACACCCCAAAAATGTCTCCTAGTTGTTTCTGAGAGTCCCCCAAGGTCCTATTTCATATCTGGTTAAGAACAGTTCTGCTTAAGTTCTTCTGCTTAAAACCTTTACCCAAGTGCCACTCTCCTCCTTCTTCTTCCTTCATCTCTTGGCTCCAGGTCTCTGATATCTCTGGCTCTGCCACTGCGGATGGGATGGTGGTGAGAGAGCAAAGAGGGCATGCTAAACTTTACTGTTTGCTACCACATCCTTACTTGAAATAGATCTTTCCCTTAATTTCTCCAACCTAAGCTATAATTTTAGCAATATTTTACTGCAGATTTAAGAAATAGAGAGTAACTTACAATTACTAGTAGATAACAGTTTTTCTTAGATACAACAGACCCAGCAATATCCTCAATATCCTTTAGAGGGTGCCTCCTTGTCTAGCTTCTTTCCTATCTCAACGTGGCAGGAGCTGTTTATCTCTACTACTAAAAAGTTCTCTTTGTTCTATGCCTAAGAATCCAAGCTAGCTTGCAAATAACCCAGAGAGAACAAATGATGCACCAAGCTTATCCCAGTTAAGATCTGCCTTCCAAGTTTCATTTTGTTCTTTAGTACCTGCCACTTACTAACATAATCAGTAATAGTAATCTCCATTAAGAGAAATCACGCCCCTCATGGACTCCAGACTTTCCGGAGCCATGGAGGCTGGGTAAACCCCTGAAACTATTGCCCTGAGATAATGTTTAAACCTTAAACCAAAAATATTCCCTGAAGTCTTCTTAAAACCAAACGACAGTTTAGTTTAACTAATAAAATATGTCTGCCTTGAGCATTATGCTCTTTTAAGAACTATCTATATGGGATCAAAGTTACAACAGCAACTCAACAGATTAAATAGAAACCTTAGGGGGCAGTGAGTTTATGTTAATAAGAAGGAATAACTCAGAAAAGGAGGGTGAGAATGGTTGCATCTAAGAATGTAATCAATGTCACAGAATTGTACATGTAGACACTGTTGAATTGGTATATGTTTTGCTCTGTATATTCTCAACAACTATAACTAAATAAACAAATTTTTTTTCAAAAAAGAGAAACCACACCCCTAATCAGAGATGAGTTGCTCTGTGCTGCCAAAAGGTTAGCAACATCAAAACATGATAATCCAATAGCATCACATTTTCCAAAGACTGGGTAATTCAGAATTAGCAGAATACATAGCCAGTCAGAACCATCAGTCCAGATTGAGCTGCATGAAGCCCAGGGTAATAGGCATCTTTTTTTTTTATATGTTTTATTGTACTTCAGGTGAAGGCTTACAGAACAAATAGTTTCTCATGAAACAGTAGCACACATGTTGTTTTATGACATTGTTTAACAACCCCACAACATATTAACCCTCTAAATTCTCAACATTTTTTTTTTTTTGGTGAAAATACACATAGCCAAAGATACACCGTTTCAAAAATTTCTACATA